TTTACAACTGAGTCATAGAATTAAAGGACCAGATTTCATGGCATCTAGCAGTGAGTTTGCAGATTGCAACCAACTGAAACCCCTTGCCTCAGTCACATAGGAGAAACTATGGTGGCTGCGAAACTCATGAAAATATCTATCTAGAGCCAGTGTCCATTCTGGGCTAGTGTAGAAACATGGTGGACTTGATTGAAGTCCCTCTGTAGCTTAAAAATGGCTCCTTCTGAGGTAACAAAAATGCATTTATTATTTTCACGTGATAATACACTAATGAAAACATACCTATGAATATTATATTCCATTTTTGCCAATAGATCCTCCTAAATATTACACACTGGACCTTTAAATTAAGAATTTGGAGAAGTGAATCTTCCACCGTTATTATTGTGAGCTGATGAGCTGCCAACTTGATAGGTAGTACACCAGTACCTAAGGGGAGCAGGTCCTTTGGACGGTGTTATTTCTCCAAACGCCTCTATTGCTGACAATGATGTTTGATCAAAGTGTGAAACCGGGCTAATTTTGACTATGCCACTTCATTAATCACCACACAAGTACACAAGAGATCTTTCTCTTTCACACTGTCTCCTGCTCTCTCTACTTTGTAAATCCTCTATATGTCATAGCCTACTTAAGTAGTAAAAGTGCAACTCTCTTAAGTCTTATAAACTGAGATGTGATTACCCCCATGGAGCCCCAGAACAATACCAACAGTGTGTTTCAAATGCCAGTTCTTTACATCCAAAAGGCTCAGTGGTGCTGAGAAAGAGCATGGAAAAGAAAAGTAACAGGAAAAACATTGGAGTCAAGCCCGGAAAAGAGAGTGTTTGGGTTGAGGTGGGAATGCTCAGAGGAGGATTTTAGAACCCAGTAGGGATAAGTGACACTTACCTCAACAAGTGGTATTTATCAGGCTGATAAAACTCCAACTTTAGCTCATCCTCATGTCACAGCTAAATGACAAAATGTTTTAGAGGTTCGGTGAAACCTATGGATGGAAGAGGGGGGCAATGGACACACATTATATTACTTTGTTTTATGAGGACAGTGGGTACTTGTGTTTGTTTCTTTCTCTTACTCTGAGCATGTATATAGTGTGTGTGTGTGTGTGTGTGTGTGTGTGTGTGTGTGTGTGTGTCTGTGTGAATAATTATGTGTTTGACTATCTGCAATTGTCAGGTTAAATCTGTAAAAGGCACAAACATATCTTCTCATAACTAACAGCTGTTCACTCTGCATGCTGTATGATTCATACTCCAACAATGCTGCTGACTAATATGTGTGAGAGATCCATTCATCCATTCAAAAACAGCCCTTATCCGTCTGTGCAATCTTTATGGTAGTAATGTCTAGCTACATTAACCTGTCTGCAGATACAATGTGTCATGGTAGGCATTGAGATACAGGCAGGTAAGAAATACACAAGGGTAGCTTTTTCTGATTTGTGAAACCACTCAGTCCTTGCCCCCGATATGCTCCCACTGCACTCACTGTCTTGTCTGCATGTCATAATGCAACACTGAAATAAGACAACCTATGTTTAGGAACAGAGTCATGTGCATTCTGCTTACAGCTTGTTCAAATTATATCTTTCTAGTGGAATTCAAACCATTGTTGCTGCAAAAGGTTTCAAATCACGTGCCACTGTGGCTGATGCAGGCGTCCCACTAGGATCAGTACAAGGCCCTTGCTATATACACAAATCATTTTTATCACCCAACTGAGTACACAGTTCTTATGTTGATGACACAATCTTGTGTGCCATCAGCTCTACTGCAAACCAGATCTTCAGATTACAGTCTGCTTCTAATGACCCCCAGACATCTGTTATTGATTCAAAGTTTGCTCTCCAAAAAGACAAAATACAAAGAGCTTAAAAGGTGACGTGAATAAGAGCCATGCTTGCAGCTCTTTGAGGCTGTAAGTCATTTAGGCTGATCACGAGCAGGTATAGTATGTACGATGGTCACCATCTTAGTTTAGTGTGTGTCATCCTCTAAACACAATGGATGTCTTTACCAAATTTTACGACAATACATCTTCTAGTTGACGAGACATTTCAGTTTTGGCCAAAGTAATGGGCCAACCAACAAATCTACTGACCAACAGAGCAACATTGCCATCCCTAGAGCTACACCACTGTTATGGCTAAAGCCCAAAAATGTCAACTTTATGGTGGCTAGCATGGCTACCAATTCAGATTGGATTATCTTTGTAGAACAGAGCTTGTTTCTCATTTTAAAACAGAAAAAAAACATTATACAATTATTGAGATATACTGTATGCTCATGCTGCAGCCACTACCCTCAGACTATTGGATGCCATTTACTGCTGTGGCATTCAGTTCATCACTGCAGACAGATCCTGACCTCAGTGGGACTTTCCGAATAAATTAAGCTTAACTAACATGCATGTACCATATTTACATACACAGTATTCAACTGTGTACATTGAGACAAATACAAACCAAAACTCCTCTTATAGACAGCAGCACATGCTGCATATTCCTGTATATACACCTCTAGACATCATGTAGATGTGTACTCTAGTGAGGTTGTAAATCACTTTCTTTGAGCTGACCTTGCCAAAGACCTCATTAATAAAGTGTTCAACGGAAAGATTTATGTTCATGGCTTGTTGTTTATGGCTTGTTATTATGGCTTGTTTCCCCTGGAAACCATACATTTCGGTCACTATCTATAGATAAAAAGAAATGAGCCGGTACAGAATGTTGCTATGGAGATCAAATCTTTCACTCAAACAACGACTGACATGCTTACCCCTCCTTCTACTGTAGCTCCACCTCCCCGTGTAAACAGAAGCAGTCTCGCCTTCTGCTTTACACTGCTCCACGTCACTATTATGGGCGTCAGTATGTTTCACTTTAAAATGAGAATCAAAGAGGAAATGGGATTCCACTGTCTATGAGATTTATTAAGTAGGATGTTATCCTGCTCGTCTTTTGTCACCGTTTTATTGCTTTTTATTACTTTTATAATTTTCAAGAGTCATTATTAGAACATGATAAGACTGAGTCTCTCCAATGTGATCAACTAGCTCTTCCGCCTAAACAACAATCTAGATTTTATAAAAAGGATTAACTGTACTTACATTATACAGTGAAAAACAAGAAGCTATTACAGAAACTATTATGCATATAATGAATTTATCCCTCCTGTAAACTGGTATTCATGTTATAGCCTTTTTGAAACTTAACACAATATGCCATTCAGCTAGAACAAGTTGTATGAGAGGAGGATATGCCACTAATAGCCAGGTATTTTTATGTAACATTATCCTGCAGACAGCCTTCAGCCAGCAGACAGCAGATTAGTACTGTGCACAATATAGGATGCAATCTCACATGTTTTTCTTTCACCTAGTTTTTATCACTGTGTGATCTTGGAAGAGCTGGGTGGGTGACAGACAAGCTGTATGAGTTGGTGGAGAGAAACGCAGGTACAAAAACATGTCAAACCATTTCTCTTTAGTGTCCCATAGTATAAAAGCACATATATTCCTGCTCATGGTTGGCTTTTGCTTGCTTTGGCCTTGTAGGTACCTGGGTGTGTCTGTGTTTAAACTCACACAAAAGCGTATGATATACAAAGCCTGATTGCAGTGTTTAAGTTAGGCCTACTCTAATGTTTGACTGCTGAGTGAGGCCCTCTTCATGTTGGTGTAATGTGGGGTAATTTGGGTTTGAAGACAAAATGGTGGACACTTAATGTGGGTGGCACAGAGTTACGTAACAATTTGAGCCATATCTTATCTTTTGTACTTTGAATTATCCCATTGAGTATGCATTGTGGTGAGCTAGGTGAGTATATGGTGTTGAATGTAGAGTAGACCTTGTTAGTTGATCTATTTGAAATATCCCATGTAAAAGGAAAAGTTAAAAAGGAAAAAAGGCATAAATAATGCTTATCCTGAGGCTTTTAAAATAACAGTTAAACATTTGGGAAAATATACTTGTTTGCTTTCTTGAAGAGTTAAATGATAGTACTTGGCCACATGTCTGCACACTATCTATGAAGTTAGAGCAATCAGCTGTTGGCTTAGCTTAGCATTATCAATGAGTTTGGTTCTATCCAGTGTTTAATAATCTGCCAGCACCTTTAAAGCTCAATAATTGTCATATTATATATTTGTTTAAATCAATAGCAAAACCAAAGTTAAAATAACAAGTTGTTGTTTTATGGGCGATTACGAGCTGGTATTTCCTGAAGACTCTGCTGGTTGCCTGGTAACGCCATGGTAGTGACAACACTCCAAACAAGAGTTAGTTAATTAGTGATGTTTACCATTCCTCCATGTGCCTGCACCTTGTGCACCTTTACTGGCAAAAGTTTTTTTTGCCTCTCTCGATCGGACTGTCCACGAAGGCGGGCATACAAAAAATGTGTAAGTACAATCTATAGATCAAAAACAGCCCTAGAGCCGCAGACAGAGCCAGGCTAGCTGTCTCCAGCCATGCTAAGCTCGCAGGCTGTATGTAGCTTCATATTTTACATACAGACATGAGAGCGGTAAGCAAATAAGCGCATCTCCATAATGTTAAAGTATTCTTTTTTAGATTGTTTGTCCTACATTTTCCAAGTGCTTCATATATCAATCTGGCAAAATCAAAAATTATATTAACAGTTTTCACAGCTAACTAAAATTTCCTCTTGCTTAAACCACACGTATCACCACAAAGTACTTTTAAGATGCCAGATCGGCCTTACTATAAATCATGTTGAGCCATGAAACACAGAGAAGTATGGAGAACACAAACTGATGAGAGATGTTCCATTGTGGCGATAGTCCCCTAAAACTACGTAGGTTGAGTGTCGGGTTGCAGAGACATGCTTTCCTACAAATACTCCTCTCCGAGAGAGGATAACAGAGATATGAGAAAAATGCCAAAAAGGTCAAGAAGGGCTCCCAGTCTGTTCACCATAAAAGCACAGAGCTCCACCTTGGAACTGCAGTGAGGGGAATCACAACAGAGTAAGACTTGAAAAAAATATTTAAATCCAAACATGGATGTTACATGGTTTTGAGGATGGTTGTGTTTGTGTGAGGAATTTATCACGGTTGTGTGGCAAACTAATGGACTATCTACGGGGAAAGTTGGGAAAATTGGGACATTGCGATTGGAGCTTCCGTGTGCTCTTTTGATAGAGATGATTGAATTTCACTTTGTGATACGTAATATATGCCATCTGGTATAACAATAGAGATCAGAGAGTTAACATAAACAGAGGGGTAAAGGGTAATCCAGCTGCTATTGTGCTAATGCCAAGGTGTGTCACTTTGGCACCGGTACAGTAAGATAACACTGATAACCTGCATTTTTTGTGTTTGTGGTAACACTAGCTGTATCAAACAGCCAGTACTTGGCCTTTGAGATGTTCACTGTGAAGTGTTTAAGCACTTTTAGTACTTTTGATTCCTGTTTGGTCCCAGGCTTGGCTGTTCAAACATCACAATCCAGCCTTTATTTGCAAAACGCTACTACTTTCCCAAGCATAAAAAACCTGGATGTTGGCATCTCAAACACTGCATTCATCCCCAAAAACATAACTTGAAATGTGGTTATGCAATTAGGCTTTTAACACCTTCCAAAGTAAGCAAAATTGTACATTGGCACGATGAGAGGAGAACAATAAAAGAGAAACACAATGGTGTAGCCAAACAGCAGGCACTCACGAAAGGGAAATAAAATTGACGTGACTCATTCCCTCATGGCTACTCCTCGGTGAGGAAGAGAAAAAAGAAGTGGCACAAAAGAAAAAAAATCATCTGAACATCTCCAAATCTAAGCCTCAAATCTGGATCTGTGCTTCCTGTCCTGACCACGAATGACTCATAAAGGGCTATTATATGTGGAATGGATAAGGTTCTGTGCCTGCTCTCTGCACCAGAATTGGAAGACTTTGGCGCTGGACTCTTTATACGCTTTACATTACTTTACTTTACTTTATAAAACCAAAGAAAATGAGCCCACAAGCTAAACAATGTCGAGCAATAGAATATACACGATGGGATAAACTAGAATTTTCAAAGTCCATGGAAAAAAAATCTGCTAAATGCACAAATAAGCCAATTTACTGGCAATTCCATCTACTTTTTATTCTCTTTCCCTCTGTGCAGTAGCTGGGAACAGTGGGCAGTCCAGAGTAACACCAAAGAGTCTTTGTCCAGAAGTTGGTTTACTGCAGAGAGGAAAACTTGTAGACTGCAGGGCCTGAGTGAAAAACAGGTATGATGACAGAGGATTGGAATGCACCAAAATGGGCAAAAGGAGCAAAGGAAGACAAGGAATGGGAGCGAACATCATTAGGGATGGAAGGGAGTGACTGTGGGCGAGTGGGCAGATACAGGATACAAAAGGGGGTTTTGCAAGATGGATAGAGTGTGACATGGCAACAGGACGGGGCGGTGATATAGGTGAGTTCTGGGAGGGGAGGTGAAGAAGTGGCACTAAAGTTCTGTTAAGTTCTGTTTCTTAAGAAAAGAAATTGGACAAAACTATTTCCCATTACTTTACGTGCATTTTGAAAGCACAAAGTAGTGTTTCTGTTAGCTTTGGGGAGCTGTTAAAGGAATCGTTCAGCATTTTGGGAGTAACAGCACATCTACACAGGACTGGTTTCAGTACGTAGACACAGACAGAGGAGTGAAGTTGATGCTTCTGCTCTGCTGATGTACTGCTCATGCTACGCTGTCCTGTGCAGATATAGTGTAACATGCAAAATACATGGTAAAAGTGTGACATAGACGGGGTGGAGCTGGATTTATTTATTTATTTATTTTTACATAAAAAAAAAAAAAAAAGGTTGCATGTTCACTGTGTATATACTTTATATTGTGTTTTGCTGAGTAATAATGCACTTCGTCATGCAGGGTTTGAAAGCGTAGGCTATATTAACTGGTACTGAATTCATTAAGTGTGACTCATGGATACACATGATTTTAACATTGCTCTGCTGTTAAGATCATGTCGGGTACAATGAGATATTTGCGTATAGCCAAATGTAGAGTAAAAAAATAAAACAGCAGTTTAAAAATAGGAATAATTACGTTGACTATAATGTAACCCTCTGGTAATGATGCGGCACACGTGTCATGCCACATCCGTGTCCTATTTATTTAGGCCATTAGAAGAGAAGTTAATCTGATGACTGTGTAAAATACGAAGCTGTAGAAACAGTAAGCTTAGCTTTGTTTATTGGCTGGAAGAAGGCGGAAGAGAGCTAGCCTGGCTCTGACCAGCTCATTCTCTTTCCCAGTGTGTTAAATACCAATGTTTTGTCTCAGTCCTTTGGCGTCTCATACAGAAGCACACAGTACCTTTTAGTGTCTGTATGAGACATTCCGGGTTTTAATTTAACTCCACTGTAAACTCATCATGTCAGGTGACAAAGTATAAAGAGCGAAAAAATCTGCTTACGGAGGTGGTTGGGTGGGTCAAACAAACATATGAACCTTTCACTCAGGACAATGGGGTTCAAGTAAAACCAAAAGTCTGTGCTGACTTATTTCAAGTTATAAGGCAAGTGACTTATGTTGCTTGACTTGTTGCAAGACTTGTTGCAGCAGTAATGGCAATTGACTTGTGTCGTGTAACATCTTTATTTGTAGTTCTGTTTCCTAAATCTAACCAAACTGCGACCGTTTGACAACATTAACCACGTTTTCAGAAGGCTTCTCATATAGATGTTAAATGGTAACATGAGAATGTGTTGGTCAGCTTACCAAGTAATATGTCATATTTGGTTCTTAAAGTTTACATTTGAGAAGAGCAAGACTAGCTTCTCTCCCCTGCCTCCAGTCTTAATGCTAAGCAAACAGTCTTGCTGTTCTCATCCAACTCTCGGCAAAATAAAGAATAAACCTATTTCCAAAAATGTCACACTACTCCTTTAAAGGCTTAACTTTTTAGCACGTCAGTAGCATTAAATCACAGACAATAGGGGGCGCTACAGAGCGCCTGAGGCACTAGAGAGTGAGAGAAAGAGAGGAGGAAAGAGAGAGCCCTCACAACCTCACAGACTATCTCTCATGCAAACCATGGGGTAGGGAATACAGGCTTGGATTATGGGCTATGCAGTGGGAGTGGAATGAAGTGAAAGTGCAATAAAAAAAGAAAGAGCGAAAGCCAAACAAGAGCCTCAGTGTGGAGGGAGAGCCAGATTTATGGGTTTCAGGGAAGAATGTGAGGTGTCCAATTCCTCACTTGTCTTCTGCCCACAACCCATAATCCTACTCTCAGAAGCTGGCTGAAAATGAGGCACTTCAAGGTGAGCAGGATTGGTTGCTATTTGACCTCTTATATTCAGAGTCAAAGCTTTGGTGACTTTAAATAAAAGAACAGGAAAAAGTGAACTCTTAACAGAAACCTGTTGAATTGGATGGGATGCAAGTAGATTTTAGGTGCAAGTCATGTTGTCCCATGGAACATACTGTTCTGGAGTGCTGTGTGACATTTGGTCTTGCTTCTTGGTTGCTTTAAAATACTTTCTAATTCCTCCTTCACTGTAAAGTCCATTCTCAGTGGATGTGCACTGGTGGCTTCAAGTTTCTACATCACACTGTACAAGTTGCACACTGGACCAGGACTGACTTCCAGACTATTTGTGATGTCACATATCCTGCTGGTAGGCCCCGCCCCTTAAAATCAGATGTGCAATGAGCACAGAGAAACTTTCCACTTTCAGCAGATGAATGTGAAAACATCCTTCTAGAGTCAAACTCTGCACATACATCACTCTGCACAGTGAACATCAAACAGTACACTGTAGAAACTAGAAGAAAAATATGTTTTTGACTGGAGGGGGTGTTTCACATAAAGATGTATATGTCATAAACAAATTATTGCTACTCTTTACGGTCTCTTTTTATTAAATCTACTTTATGCTGTAAAGTACTTAACTAATGTAAAAGTATGTAATTATGTCAGATAAATACAAATCAATTACCTTCATTCTATTCATGTATTCTATTTTACTTTTGTACTTCTTTTGTATTATCATTTATTACATAACTGCTTACTCCCAGTGAACCACCACACCCAGGTTCAATAATTTAGCCACACATTTGGAGTGAATTACGAATGACCTGACCCACAGCAAGAGGGCCCACCAGAGAGTGGTGTATGTGTGTGTACATATGTGTGTGAGCATATATCTGTATTCGGAGGGGAAACCTGCTACACTGGACAATGGTTAGCTAATCTATTTGTTATAACAGGCGAATCGTCTTTGATGTCTGTCCGATTTTTTTTTACTTCTGTGGAACCACAAACCATATGTGCACACACACAAAAACCCACATTCAAGCATGCACGCACATACTGTATGGCCATCTGCAGACACAAATATACCGTAAAACTTCAAGTAAAAGCATGGTCCCAAATAGCCCGGTGTGGCTACACATTTTGACAAATAAACACAGGTCTCATTAGATGTCTGGTCTGGATTTTATAGAAGTTATTTCAAGGTATACAACCTCTTAAAGCCCAATGGGTCGCCCGCTTCAGCCAGTTGTAAGCTGCTTAGATCTCCTACACAAATATAAATGTTTAAACCTTTGTCAATATGCTAGACATCATTAAATCAGTCAGATTCTCCACAATTCAATCGTTTAGTTAATTTTATGGAAACCATGAGGGCCAAAGTATCAAATGATTCAATGAATGAGTCCTAATTGATATGTTATTTGATAGCCTAATTTTAATACAAGTTATATTCATAGTGGTTTAGATAAACAATTTGAAAGTATTTTTCTTCTTCGATGAGCAAGAGTTTTGTGCAAAATGAATTAAAGACCTGTCCCAAATGAAATAGACCAAACTAGTCTAACGCTGATAACCAGTTTGGCCATCTCAACTCTTCTGCCCCGTTAGTCCATTTCTAAGTGGTGTGTGTGTGTGTGTGTGTGTGTGTGTGTGTGTGTACACTTGTAACCTGTCACATCTGGTTACACAGGTTGAAATGAAACACACCCAAACATTATCCTGGGGGAAGATGGGATGACAGATGTTGTTGGATTTAACTGACTGGACCAACAGGTTACACCACCTGCTGGAATTGGGTCAACACTGGATTAGCAATTGTAGAATGTGTGTGTGTGTGTGTGTATATATATATATATATATGCTTTTTTATGACCTATTGGGGAAATTTGTTCGTGTAAACGCTGACCTCGTGGGGACCAAAGACTAGTCCTAATGGGGTAAAACATCATTTCTGAGGTCCTGGTTAGGGGTAAGGTATGAATTGAGGTTGGGTTAAAGTTAGGATGTCCACAATAAATAAAGTCAATGGAATGTCCAAACAAGGACAGCTGCACAAACTTAGGCTAACATTCGACCATTTTCTTGCTGAGATGCAGAAAGATGACTTGTTACATACAAGACAAGACACATTTGCTCACTCCACAGGATTCAGCTTTGTTGATAAGTTTGAGGGGCAACACAAGGCCAAAAAGATTTATTTGACAGCTTGAGAGGCTGGATTTTGGTTGCGCAACAAAATTATGTAACTCTCATGACTTGTGATTCTGCCTTTATATCCTGAAAATGTTGTTCAGCAAGGACTTTGCATTCAGACTGCATCAAAAGACTCCTGATGAGCAGCTGATTTGCCTTCAGTCCGATTTGCAATTTCATTTTATTTCTTTTGCATAATTAATCCTCCATTCTATAACAACAACAAGGCCTCTGCAGGGATGTGAAATAGATGTGAATAGATTAATGAATTGTATGTGTGCATATGTGTGTGGTGTTTAAACGACATGCCTGTGCGCATGCACAGTTTCGTGTGAGAGGCTCTGCAGAAACTATCACATGACTGCTGCTGATACTTCAACACCTTTTGTGGTCCCTCTACTGACGGTGTCAATTATTGATACGGGTCTACACCTGGTTGTTGTGTTAACACCCTCACACCCAGCCCTGAACACATAAAAGTGCCTTTTTACATCCTTATCTACAAAATATGAGGGTTTTTGAGCACACGCCCTGGTTATCAAGACTTTGACCATATACGTATAAAATGTGCATGTTTGCACCTATTTTGTAATTTTGTGGCTATGCACATCAGTTGTTGCAGTGCAATTTCTGTACTCATTTTGGTATGACATTATGACATGTTTTTCCACCAATTTCCATCTTGGTAAAAATGCAAAGTGCAAGATTTTCACATCGCATTATCCTCGGAATCACTTCCAGATTCCGCACGATTTATGTCCAATGCCAACATCCAGCACCAGTGCAGGAAGTGGTGTATACTTTATGCAGCACAGTGAATATTAAGAGTGTGGAGGTCAGACTCTCATGCAGGAACCAGGACTTTGTGTCTCTTCGCAGACCTGCTATTATGTCCATGTCATGTTCAGAAATTGTAGAAAGTGAGAATTTGAAACATATTGGCAAAAAGTTGTAATATTCCAGGATTTTTTTGAAGTACTGTAATGGTAACATTCTTGTAAGGTGACAGGTCTATATATACTGTAGACCTCCCCAAATTCACATAATACCCTTTAATATATGTTGATTTACTAATGATTAGGCCAATGTTGGTACTGGGATACATTTTAGGTCACCTCAGTCAGGACAGGAAATACAACTGTACTATGTGAGTGGCCACAACAAAATAGACATGTTGTGAGTTCTTTCTGGTTCTTATAAAGAGACCATGAGAAATTTCAAATTTCATTGCTATTTTTCCAAAACACTGCCAACAATATTTGATGTTGTATGTAGTACAGCTCATATGCTAGTTGTGCTTTTAAAAGTAGCATGAACTAGCTGCTTGTCCAAGTGGGACCAAACATAAATCACTTCAGCTCGCTAGCTCTAGGTTCGAGCAAGCTAAGGTGATAAGGTTTATGCGAATGAACATTATTAATGGCTGTAAATGACTTTGTCCCTGGTTCACTCATTCACTCCCTAAACACTCAATAGTTCATTCATTCATTCAGTTTTTTTAATGGCACTAAGGGGGTGATTGTGGACAAAACTTCATGCTTGGACTAACTTTTTCTTGTTCTGGGTTACTTTTGCAGTAGAGCAGACATAGTTTACATGTCTAGATAGTCAGCTACAGTAACTACTGTTGTCTTTGTTTGCACTGAGCTTAAGTCAGAAGTCAGTCCCTTAGGTTTGGCCTTAAGCGGCGATTAAGGTGATGTTGATGTTTGCTGAACTGATACAGTACTGTGGTGTAACTTAACTTGTGGGTTTCTTTATTTTCTTTACCTTTCAGATAAAGACAGCTATTGGAGCAGTGTGTGAAGACTGGGATTGTGAAGCAAGCCTGAGGATGATGATAAGGAGTCCATTTTGCAGGCATTCATGCTTTTTAATTGTCCTTAATGTTTCATGGAGGATTTTTATACGTATGTTTTTATATGTATATCTATATATATATTGGAAATGATCATATATAGGGATTGTAGTGTCTTGTATGTAAATGTTAACTCAAGAAGGGACAGTTTTGACCTTAAACAGACATTTGGAGTGCTGTATGTTTTAATATTTACCATATTTGTTCCTCCAGTTTTCCCTTCAGAGAAGTCGGCCGACTAGCTTACACTTTCAGCTGCTTTTAAAGGCGATGAGAGGGGCTGCAGTGATTCGCCAACATTAACTCCACCTCCTCCGACTCCACCTACTAATACATTATATGTCTAACAGCATATTCATTGTCTTTTCCACATTGTAAAGTGCAGCTAAAGGAGAGCACTTGCGCCTCTAGTCACCAAAACTGCAAAAATTAGCCTGTCACAGCCACGTGCCACAACAGCCAAGGGCCACTTCCACCTCTTGGCATCCAGAGAACAATACACTGCATGTGCAGTTTGGAAGAAAACATAAACCGGGTTGACATGTTTAACAGCAGGAGCTATGGCCTCGGGGAGAATACCTGGAGATCAAACTGGGAGGAAGGGTCCTGCTGACAGACCAGAGAAAATAAGGCAAGCCAAAGAGAGAGAAAGAGATGTAAAGGGATAAAATCAAATAGCTCATGGCAGAGTGGGGGCAGGGTAACTGAGTGGGCTAAAGGGGAGCAGGGAGGGGTGCAGTATGCAGACCTGTTATTTCCTACCCGGTCAGTATGCTGTGTTCAGATAACAGTCAGACACTTTTTTGTGTCAGCATGTGGGAATGCACAGTTTATTTTCTCTGTAAGGCATTGTTTTGGAAACCAGTCACAACACCTTTAATGTTGCTGGCTCCCCTGCCGCTGATAAGAACACTGATTCCGAGAACACACACACACACATGCACCCACGCACACACACACATGCACCCACGCACACACACACCCACACCCACGCTTTCAAATTCCCCCAGAGGTACTTCCTGTGCTCCACTGGATGTCTCTCTCACCCTCAATCTCAATCGCACACACACACACACACACACACACACACACACAGAGAGAGAGAGAGAGAGAGATTGAATCGCCCAAAACATCACAAATGACAAGATTAGCCCACATAAGAGGAGAGCCGAACATTACGCAATAAAGGACAGCCACTGGTGAAATCTACTCTTAAGGGGAGGAGTGCAAAGATCTGGAAAGATTACAGTGGGGCGTATAATTATGTTCTTCACCTGACACTTGCTGCCTCTACCTGTGCACCAAACACCTGCATTATACTGCCCCCTTCTGCTGTATGTCCTATAAAATAGGAAGCTACTGAAAAGTGGGCTTTCTGAGGTTATTTTCGTGAAACCTTTTCAGTTAACCTAAACCTCAATTCCACACAAAAATAAAAAATAAAAATTCAATTTGGAATGATTTCAGTCGAATGTTGGAGATGTCACTGCTGTTCCTCCAGCATTTCCTCTTATGGAAATGACCAGCTGTCTGTTCAGCACAGTGGCAAAAGAAAATGCTGCCATTGTGTGGACCGGCTGCATGTGTTTGCATGTAATCCGACACCTTTATGTAATGCCTTACATGGGAGATTTGTGAATTGGAGGGACGAGATCCTGGGGATGTTAAGTCTGCCGGCAAGAGAATAGGTTGGATGTTTGCAGAAATGAGTAACATTTCCTATTTTGAAGGGAAGTTGAAGGTTTATCCATTTTCGTCAATGAGTCGGTTGCTACGTCCTGTTTCCATGGAAACCGGTGCATCCACACCCATCGTTTCATGGGAGATTGGCTCAGGCATCCATGACTAAGTTGTTACATCCAGCTGCTGCTTGCTCTAACTCAAGGTCTCTGTATTGGTTATTGAGTAAACCACTGGTCAATGATTGAGCGGTTGTGTGTCATTCCCGCAGAGTGCCGACAAAGCAAACCAATGTCTGTCTTAGTTTGCACATAATTGTTGCAATAATTATTCACAAGCAAAGTAACTACACTCTAGAAACCATCAGGCCAACAAATTGACCCAATTTGCTTTTTTGATCCAAATTGTTTTGTCAAACACAGGTTGACCTGGTATCTTTTTAACCATATTTTTTTAAAATCCCCCTCCACTCAAAAATGTGGTTTGGATGTTTGAACAAAATGAGCTAATCAACATTCACAATTAGCATATTCATCAGGTCAGGAATTTTTAATGAGGCTAGATTTGAATGAGAAGATGACTTTTTAAGGATTTTAACTTGGAAATGATACTTCTATGCAGAAATAACAGACACACATTGTTGTTCCAAGCAACTATTTATAAAAACTATTTTTATAAATACAGTAACACATGTCTGGAGGGGATCTTACAGATAAATAACCCAACAGTTATACATTATCACTGGGTCAGAACAACCCATTGGCGCAGTATGAACTGATATGAGACAGATACTTTATTAAGTTTCATTAAGGAAGTCTACTTAAAATAGTAACCTCACAATGATAAACTCTTATGTTTGGGACCTGCACACTGAGTGCATCATCGACCCACCGGTCTGGAATTCCCCCCTACTGAACTCAAAACTAGAATTTAATGACTCATCTGGCCCTCTTCCTCTGCAGTTCCCCTGATAGTATTGTGTTACTGGTCAGAAGGCTGTCCTTGTGCAGGCACGTTCTTATCAGTCAACTTGTTATGTTTATGTACAAACAGCACATTCCTGTGGGGGGACGGGCATGCAGAACAGGATCCGAGCAAAGCTCTGCAGCTGGAAGGTCAGGTTGAGAAAGAAAGAGCTAGAGAGAGAAAAAGAAAACACCAAAAGCCAGTAAATGATTAGAGGGCTCACAATACTGCACACAAGATCTGGATAGGATGAAGGGAGAGGAGGAGAGGGAGTAGCAGACAGGGTGGTTGAAGAGATAGATGGCCATGGGAAGAAAAAGGGAGTAGAGACAGAGTACAACAGCAAAGTGTAAGCTGTAGTCATATAACCGATGGGAGAGAGGGAGAAAAACTTTGCAGAAAGGAGATAGGAGGTCGGAAGCAAATGAGACCAAGGACAGATAAGAGACTGTAATTCCAACTAGCCGATGAAAGAGGACGAAAAGTTTGTACAGGAAAAGATACAAACAATAAAACTGAAAAAAAAAATTCTTTAGTAAAAAGAGAGAGTTTCAAGCACGGGGGGAAGTGAGACAGTTTCAGGAAGGAAAGGAAGGCTGGAGGCCTGAGTCTGGCAACTTCTGCATTCTTTAAGTCCCTGGCCATCATCTGCCACTCCCAGGTCAATGGTCAAGAGAAAGGACAAATTGACATAAACGCCACACCCAGAAGCTACACATGGACTCAATAAGAAGACACACGAGCGCACAAACACAAATGGACTTATGCATGCAAGACTGCTTGCATGATGCAGGAGCCTTGTGCACCAGAGCACACACTAGGAGGCTCACAAGCACCCAGCCAAACAGAGACACACTGTATGTATAGCTTATGCATACAAAGTATGCACACAAACGTCTGTACTCACATTGTACAGAATGTACACACTGAATCAGAGACTGTCAAGAGTAAGGATGAGCTGGAGACAAACAAAAAATGTTAAAATTAATAAAGCTGAAGTGAAATTAAAATGTATATATAATTAGAAATCAGTATGTATCTCCTTGGTGTTTGTTGTTTTTTGTACTTATTTGGTCAAAAATGTAATTCTAAAATTTTTTTTTTTTTTAAATAAATAAAAGTAAAAATATAGTTGTTATTTTTTTTTTTACATTGTTCTTCATTTCGTTTTTGTTTTTTAACACTTTATTTGTAATTTTTCAATTATCATATAGAACAATTTTCTGTTTTACAAATAACCATAGAAAAACAATCCCAACAAGAAAAAGACAAAGACAGACCAAACCCAAAATCAACCTGACAGACCTGTCACAGACAACAGACGGACAAACAAAAAAAAGAAAAGAAAGAAGAAACAAGTGCACCTAACATTCCTTATTACAGGACTGACCAAGGGCAGATGTAAACATTCAGAAGGGGGGTACATTTTTACTTTTGACTGACAATGTCAGTACTGTCATTCCATTCATGCAATATTTGTGAGGGCAAGCATTACAATTGTTCATAAAATCACTTTAATTTCAATGACAACAGAGGCAGTTAAAGAGATTTTATGATGTGATAAAGTGATTTTATGAACAATTTTAATTTTAAGAGAGGGATAAATTGCATGGCTGCTCACATAAACAATGAATGGAAAGTGTGGCAATGACTGATCCTGTGGACATGTACCATAAATCCACACTGGTCCTTTAAGCCACGGACTTAAACTTTTATTTTTTTTTAAAATAATACATAATAATAATAATAATAATAATAATATGAAGAAAACTTTTAGTTTAAATTTAAATATAATTGTCAATTCACTTTAAATATTCAGCGTTCAATCATGCAGTCCCATTTTACAGAGCCACAAACGTTTTCCATAGCTCTTGTATGAGCAGGGAGGACTGCGTCAAAAGGTCAGTGAACGGCCCACTGTCTGACTTCCTGAGATGCCAACATATGGTTGCCAGACAGAGAAATTCCTCTACGACCAGACATCAGCACCGTCCGAGGAGCATTCAGGGGGCTTCAGATTGTCATTTTGCATTTTCATACTCACATGCTGCAGCTAGTGAACATATGCAATATTTATCAACTCCCCCAATTGGCTCTTCCTCTCTTTCAGTCCAGCTTTCTTTCTCTCCGGTCCTTCGTTTACTCTCACTGTCTTTCTATGTGTCTAATTGTATCTGGGTGTGAGTGAGCATGTGTACGTGCACTTCAGTGTGTTTGCCTGCAAACTCTATAAGGGACAAAGGCCACAGCAAGTAGTGGAGGAGAAGAGAGCGTTACTTTTCCCGCCATTTGGAATGAATTAAAACCATATGGCCATCGTGGCACGGCCTGGAAAGAAGGGATGGAAACAGACAGAATAACAGTGGAAAGCTGCCGAAGGCGTATTGGTTTAAAAATGGGCGTTGTGCATATGTGAGGATGGCGAGGACGTGGAGGGGAAGGGGCTACAGAGGGTTTCCTTGCATCGTGGGATACCCCGTTTAAGAGGGATTTCCCTGAAGTGGCCTCCCTCACTGCACGTTTCATTTACTGTACAATCTATGAGGCGGCGACGGAGGCTGCCCCGCCGGGAGGTAATTACACGGGAGGAATGAGTCAGCCACTGTACCTGAAATAGACACAGCATGCAAAAAGCTGTTACCAGATGGGACAGATATAACTACAGGATCTCAGAGCCAATAAGAACAAGGGAAAAATAAGAGTAAACCTGTTGAACCTACTTTGTTTCTGGCTGTTTTAAAGTATGCAATATAATAAAATACATCTGTTTCTCATAAACAAGCTGTTTTATATAGAATAGCTTATTTGGTAACAATGTGACAGTTGCTTAACTTTGAGTTGTAATAACTTAATCATTTCTAGACTTGAAAAGCTTGTAACCTGTAACTTGTAACTTTTTAAGAATATATTGGCTAGCACTTTCTACCTCTTCCAAACGAACTGTTGAATTCAATTCAATACAATAAAAGCGACACTCTTTTTGGTCTGGTATGAGCTTATGGTGGCTTTAGTCCGTAAATGTGAGATAGAAACTGTGTAAAAATTGTCACTGAGGCATTTCCTCTACTTCAGCTACTGATAACCAACATTTTAGTATTTACTATTATCCCATTACTGCCAGCTGTGGTCACTTTGAAAGGAGCCTGTGCAACTGTTGCTGAAAATAGCCATCATGACATCATGAAGAGGCAGTTACAGATATTATACTCTTTTTCTCTGGACCAAGTGTGAACCTATCGTGACGTCAACTGCAATGGCGTCTCGCCTGGTTACAATCACGTATTACAGCTAGACAGTACATAAAATGTTTCTGAAAAATGTTGGTGAGAAATAGACACCGCAGTAACAGAATCTTGATCCATATTTGTTCAGCACTGCAGTTTGACAGTTTGATCTGTTTTACTCTAAACTGGACCATAGTTTACTAAATGAACATCATGCTGTATGGAAAAAAAAAAACTAGCAAATGAGACCATAAACTCATTAAAAAACTGTTTACTGAGCTCATAAATCAAGTGAGAAGTCAGGTCATTTCTTCATAAGACTGTATGGTATCGGTGTGTTATCGCAGCCAGTGGAGCTCCCCCTGCTGGCCTTTACATAGAATGCAGGTTTAAGACAGTTCTGCATTGGCTTCACTTTTCAGACCTGGAAGCTCTGTCCATTATATATACGGTCAATGGTTTGGACTAGGATCAGGACAGTCTGACTCGTAATTAGCAACTGATGCGACAATCAGAAGAGGGTGACTAATTTGGTTTTTCGCACTGTGTAGCAATTTGGAAACTTTTTTTACCCATGAAATAAAATCTGAACTACCTACATCAACAGCTAACCAAAGCCAAAAGAAGTCAGAGTACTATTACCTGTGTAGACACTGGACTGAAGCTGCTGCGGATGCTAAGCTAACAAGCTGCTGTCGGAACACACGGTGCAGTGTGCGGAGACTGTAACGATTCGCAGAGTAAGGCAGAATAATGGTAAACAGTAACCATGGTAACAGTAGCACAAGTAGAGTAGGCTAAAAAAGTCATTATGTAAATCATTTGTAAAAGTGTGTTATCTCTTGTCACTTTAAACTATAATTTACATGTGTAGGATAAGCCAACTTGTCCAGCACGGCTAAAACCATGTAACTGGCTTCACATTAAAAGTCTGTGCTGTGAACAGAAACACTTGATTCTTACACACATCTCAATCAATGGCTGATTCTTCTGAGAGTCAAACTTGGCCCATTTTAGCATTCTTTGAGACCAGACAGTGGTCATTCTTTCTCGCCCCCTCCTTTTCATTCTTTTTATCCTTGACTGAGACCAAGGCCGCTTTGGAGAACTTTTTTCACACAGTGCCTGTCCACTCAAATGAGCCCATTGTGTCTGAAAACATCCAGCCCAGCAGATACCGAGGGGAGCAGGGAACAACTTAGAAAAATTGGACTCTTGCTACTGCAGTGTGTTCTTACACGCGCTTGTGAAATGTGGTGTATCGACTCCACCAGGGATTTGCCAAGAAGCGTCTACGCAGGCCCATCCTGCGTGCCCAGCAGGGTTGTAAAATAACGGTCTGAGCGAAGCAATTTCCTAAAAGAACTCTGCAAATTTGTTTCTCATCACCATGGTAACATGGTACAGGGCCCAGTTTGGAACTTTTTTTCCATAGCAGCGCTCTGCGTCAGAGGGAGGGATTCTGGGAGCAATTACTGAGCAGGAATTTGGGGTTGCAGTGGGGAAGAGGAGGAGACACAGCGGCTAAGAATGTCTGAGTGTGTGAAAGAAAGAAAGAAAGTAAAAGAGTGAAAAGAAAGTGATTCAGAATGTGTACATATTCTCTATTGTATGTGTGCATGTAAGAGAGAGCACAAGAGATTACATTTTCTATCTTACTGTTATGTTATTTCAGAAAATTAGCAAATTAAAATGAGGTCCTGTGTGTCAAATCCTGGCCTTGCCCAGTTATGAAACTGCTACTCCCATCAGGCACTCCCTGAATACTCATATAATGCTCATCTATACTGGACTAACATCCACCCTATAGCACTTTCCCAGAACTGATACACCCTCCTGTGCCTATCCTGGAGCATCCTTACAAGTGCTTTAACCTGGGAGTCAGTGAGCACACACACTTCCAAGGAAAGCCTCTCCACCGAGTATCCTACACATTAATTCAATTCAATTCAATTCAATTCAATTCAATTTTATTTGATGATGATGATGAACATGAAGAAGATGATGACGACGACAACAGCAACGATGGGGGACAATGTGCAGTGACAATAGTTATAATAGTAACTGTAATAATAATAATATTAATAATAATAATAACAATAATATCAGTGATATTAGCAATGGCAATCTAGCAGGACCATGGCAGGAGGCTCCACCAGGATCGACAAGAACCTGCGAGACGAGAAAGCACAAGAACTCCGGGGAAGAAGTGAAGTTAGTAACATGCATTAATGGGACATGAATGAGTGCAGAAAGAGAGAGAGAGAGAGGAGCTCAGTGCACCATGGGAAATCCCCTGATAGTCTAGGCCTATAGCAGCATAACTAAGGGATGGTTCAGGACTCACCTGATCCAGCCCTAACTATAAGCTTTATCAAAGAGGAATGTCTTAAGCCTACTCTTGAATGTGGTGAGGGTGTCTGCCTCCCGAACCACAACTGGAAGCTGGTTCCACAGGAGAGGAGCTTGGTAACTGAAGGCTCTGGCTCCTGTTCTACTTTTAGAGACTACAGGAACCACAAGTAGCCCAGCATTCAGAGAACGTAGTGTTATAGTGGGGTAATAGGGTACTATGAGCTCTTTAAGATATGAAGGGGTCTGACCATGATCAATCACTCTTCCTCTGCACAATATCTTCCCTGCTCATCACACTCTCATCCTTGACACCTAAAATCACTCCACTCTACCTGGTATCTGCCCTGAACTCATAACCTTCAAACACACAGTACAACCCATGTACTTTCAATCATTTCTCTCCTTTTTGGAATATTTTATCTGGCCTTGTCATTTTTATTTTATTGTATGTTAACTTTTAAAGGGAGTGCAAGTGTAACATTCAGGAAGATCTATTGGTAGAAATGGAATGTAATATTCA